TCCTCACAGCCTCCCGATGGAAACTTCTCGGCCATGCGGGGAAAAGGCGGAGGATTTGTTCGGTGCTTGACAATACTAGATTATCTGCAATGGATCCGAAAGGCGTGGTAAGCCCTGCCCTTCTCCAACCAGTTTGTGTGTGTGTGTGTGTGTGTGTAAGTGTGTGGGAGGAATCAAATTATCACCAGCCAGGTGCGTGGACTTCCATCGACGTTCGCCGGACACTGGGCAGCCCTCTCGTCCACTCCCGTCTGCCGATTGGCCATGCAGGCGCTGGCCATGTCGTGGCTTGCGCACAGCACCCAAGCCCTGGCCATGCTGCATATCCGAGTATCGCCCATTGCGCGCTCACCTCCACACCACCCACACCCGTCACCACCCATGGGCTTTGATGATCGGTTGTGCGATGTCAATGCTGCCCAAGGCTCCGACCCGCCTCATCACAGTGTGCGCTCGCGGCGCGATAGGAATTATCCCAACCTCCCCTCGTCCTCGTCCTGGTTGTCTTTCCATCTTCCTCTTTCCATCGTCCTCTCTCGGGGCCTCCTTTCCCGAACGACATCAATCTCGCCCCATGATTGAACTCGGCATACCAGAGGCGTATGCCAACTGTTGTTGATTCAATCTGAGTAAGCAGACTGGTTGGCTGTTTGCCGATTTCCAAGATTGGGCGGGATACGGCCGACCATTTGTGGATGGTTCGTCAGCCGGAGTGATTTCCAACCTAAAAATCATCTGCGCGTTTCCAGAACACGACTCGACTGTGAACTTTGTCGGCATCCGCGTCGAGCGTATTTTTGGCAGCGTCATTCTTGGAGGGATGCATCATTGATGTTTGTTCTCTTTCTTTCCAACCTTGCATCGATTGTAGTGGTACTTGTAAAGTTTGAGATGCAACTCGTTGGTGTCGCCTTGGTTTTTTTTTTACTGTATTATTGTATTCTTTTCGTCTCCCTGAACGATCAATCCTGGGTATGTCCTCTGGCCTTTGTTGATAACCACACCCCCCCACCCTCCACCTTCTCCTTCATCCACCGAGCTTCGACCCGACAAGGGCCGATGTGACGAGACAGGGACGGGTGGGAGAAGAAAAGCAACACACCACACCGGTGCGCAGTTTATTTCTGAGTCCTTGTCTTCATTCTCTTGGATATCCTCTGACAAGATTGTATCCCCCATCATCTTTGCCTCGCTACCTGTATCCTCTCTTGGAAGCGCGTTTCAAACACGCGATTATTTACGCCACGCCCCCAAAAGTAATAGCCAGAGACGAAGCACTGAGCACTCAAAAGGCCTGTCCCGTCGTGTGGCCCGCGGGGCGGCTCCCGTGCGCGGGTACCTACATCCAGCTGGCTGGACAAAGGAGCAAAGGAGCAGCATGCCTTCCCGCGAACCGGATAATACTATCCCTCCAAGGAGTCACCTTGTCTTCTACTGTGGAAGATGTTGTGCAATGGGACTGTACCGTACCCGTTACGCATACCATGCTAAGGAAACGTCAAAAGGCAATGCAAAAGCGCGTCGTGAACTGTTTTATATTCCCGACTCGGACTCGGGAGGTGTGCCAGTGTACCGAGGTAGACTGCTCAAGAATCGGAAGCATGAATAACTGGACGGGCAAATCAGTGAAAGTCGCGTCAATGAGAATGATGCGAGGCGTCCGCTTGTTACTTCTTTATCTTCCATGGTGGTGAGTGGTCATGTATAGAACATCCGCCCATAGATCGATTTGTCTTTCTTTGATTTGCGTACCGAGTATACCTCCTTGCGAGAAATAGGGGGAGGAGTGCGCGTAACTTGTTCTCACATCCTTCGATCCGCGGGCCAGCACTTTTCGTCTCGATCCATTCCCACTTGGTTTCGCCGCCGAAAGGAAAAGCAATGTAAGACCTATCAGAAAAAGTAATTATCCCTTACATTTCCCAGCGTTGAGTGGAGCTGGACTCGAAGAGGTGGTGCTGATTCAAGGGTTCACTGCTGCGTGCGTGTGGCCAGCCATGGCACGATGGCACAGGAGACAGAACCACTGAATCACCTTGTTTTCAAATCAGGGGTACGTGCGTGGTCATGACAGAGCTTCAAGCATGGAGGCTCCCAGTATATATATTGAGCATCCCGAAGCCACCACGCATGGGATGGGATGGGCTGAGTTATTGTGTGACGAGAAAAGGAAAAAGAAAAAAACATGAAGTGATAATATGAAAGGAAAAAGGAAGGAAAAGAAGGGACCTTGACAGGACGCGCTTGCCGGCTTTGGCCTAGATTCCTTTGCAAACTCAATGGATCTTGAAGCAGTCGCCGCCTAGGCCTGGCCACTTTACGGGCACAGACCCCGTCGGTGAAAAAGAGGTCCATTTGTTCTGTGTCCTATTTTGCGGCGCCTTGCCTTGGGGAACATTGAAATGTGGCAACGCCCCTTGGCGGAGTCGGACCACCAGCCGCGCAAAATCCTGACCGAGAAAGCGATTATGTTGCTATACATGGACAGAAGGAAATAGATCCAATGGATGGATCCATGGACTGATGTGTGAGACTGGTGGCTAGGTCAAGCTGGGCAAGGCCCCATCCGGCTAAGCAAAGGGAAGAGATTCAAAGCAAAACCAACCGAAGAATCGATATAAAAGCAATCAATACATTTTCACCTCACGGGAAAGAGAGAAAGAAAAATAAAGGAAATAAAGGAATTCCCGCTGTGTACCGAATCCCTTTGAAAAAGGCCCCAATGTTCAAGGGGGTGTACCAGCCGGGGAGCTATTTGATGGCGGATGTTTTCATCACGTACCCGAAATATGAGACACTGGCGGGAAACCGCCCTGAGTCGGCAGCCCAGTATTCCGCCCCCAGCGATAAAGTCAAGATACTTGTTCTCCCTCTTTTCGTGGCGTACCAGCTTGATTTCAATCGATTTTTTTAAGTCCCTCATTCGCGTCACTGTCCGTCCCTGATTCATATACTCCCCTCCTCGAGGTGTTTCGCCCTGTTCTTTTCTCTTGCTTTTCGCTCCGGGACCCGTGCTCTCACCGAGATTCGGGAGCGGCCACTGAATCAATCCAACTTTAAGCCGCACGCACTAGGCTGAAAGTTGTTTCTCCTTGTCCCTTGTTTCTTGCTGCCGGGGCCAAAGGGAAGAGGACCAGGGAATTGTGCGCGCGAGGTATCATTGTTGAGCGCTGGATCTTTTCGGGTCAATCCTCTAGGAAGTTCGCACGGAACCAGGCAGAACTGAACCAATCCTCGACCGACCTCTTTTCCTACACCGGACACCGAGGGATTTCAAGATCGCTTCCAAGTCAAACATGTGCTCCCTGCGTACATGTACATGTATACCTCGGTAGGTCGCGTGCCCTTCAAACATTGGGAGGCCTGCTTCATGTTCTTATTTGCAGCTTCTATCGCTCATACCGCTAATTGACACCAGCTAGCGAGCAACACAGCCTTGGATATTAAAAACATGAAGGAGCAAGCAACAAGAGCGGCATCATCGTCCCACGATATAATCTTGTGCATGGGAACGGTACGAAGAATGCCATAGTCAAAGCGTGGGGATGAGATCTAGTGTACATATTCAATCTTGATATCATCTCGTTTCTCTACATTCATGTATCAGGCTATCATCAAGAGGTTTTCTTGTCTTCGTCTATCTATCAGTACAATGGCTGGATGTAGGCAGTGGGTGCGCGCATTCAGGTATAGGAGAGAGCCTTCCCTCGAGAGGGGGTCGACTATAGTGTTTTTCATAACTAAACAAGATCTATCTAATAAGGCAAACAGGGTATTTCCAAGCGAGCCATCTTCTATTCTGCCTCCATTTTGGGGTGTGACAAAACTGAGAAAATAATCCAAAGGGAAGCGTCGCCCAGCGCAAAAGTAAGAACAAGGGGAAGGAAAAAGAAACCAAAATTGACATTTCAATGTCAGAATAGCAGGATCGGAAAAAGGGTGTCCCATTGGACGAATGCATGAGATTGCAAAAAGAAAAAGAAATCAAACGCTTATTATACTGCTTCTCTCTCTCTCTCTCTCTCTCGCTGTGTAGCTGCGCAGCGAAAACAAAACGGACTCTGAAAAAGGTGAAAAAGACAACAAAAACAGGATAAAACAAGACACACCACAATCCCTTGGAGAACTCGAGCTTCTCCAACCTCTCTGCTGCAGCAACGGACTCTAAAAACAGCGCAAAAAAGAAAACAGGAAATGAGCATCCCAAAATCAAGAGTGAAACCCCATACAGGAAGCTGGCGGGAGCGTCATAAAAATAAACTTTTTTCTTCCAGATCCTGACCTAATTCCCAAACGATGAAAACAAAACAAGTGTAAGGATTCCTTGACATCCAGGCAGGTCGACATCTTCCGGGCTCGCCTTTCGCTACATCTCAGTCCTTGGTTCTAAAGCCCGGTCCAGGATAAGGAAAGGGTATCAAAATACGACGGGACCAGGGCGAGGCATCCTCGGACAATGAGACGTATCCGCAGACGGTAACGGGTCGCCCCGTGAAAAGTCGGCGGAAAAACAAGACGTAATTGCAAAATAAATAAAAAGCAGGGCGATCTATACAGGTATAGAGGAGTCGAAGGGCGGATCAGAAAAAGGAAAAAAACTCGGTCGGTCCAGGGAAATGCGCCGCAGAGATAAAAGAATAAACGAAGAAGAAAAAAGGGAGCCAACCGGAACTTGGAAACGGAGCCCACGGGTATAGTCTTTTGGAAACCGGACACCAAAAAAATCCAGACGGGTCGGATTGATAATGTACATGGTAGTCATCCTTGGCCAGGAAGGGGAGGGGGAGGGAGGGATTTGGAATAGGACGGACAAGTCAACGTCATAGGCCAAACCTCGGATCCATGGGTCGAGTTTGGAGAGAGCCGGGTCCAGGAGCAGGGGGCCGCGAGGAGAAATCCCACGATCCTGGTATGAACAGTAACAAAAAGAGTAGGAAACGGAGTTTAAAGAGAAAGCTGGACCGCGAGGCTCTCGTCCAAAAGCGATTGTCATGTAAGCTTTACCTGGTAGGGTGCTTAAGGATCTCATCACAGTTGGCCTTGAACCTCTTGATGTACAGCTCGAGAGAGGACATGAAGCGTTCTGTGCGCTCAAGTTCGCGGTCACGACCGAAGAGGGTCTCCACAAACTCGACGCCAGCATTCTTTCCGAGGCCAGTCCCATTCTTCTTGCTCGCGCGGAGCATGGGGCCTCGCACGCCTTCAGGAGGTCGCCAAGACGCTCCGAAAGGCGAGCACCAGCTTCAATGAAGTCCTCGAGGACTTCACGCCTCTTGGGGTCACGGACCTTTGCAACCACGTCCTCGGCGCCCTTGAGCTTGCCCGAGAACTGGATGAGCAGGAGCCAGAGTTCACCCGCCATCTCGGACAGTTCGTTGTTGGGCCCGAGATGATAAGTCGTCCAGTCATAAATCCATTTGCCCAGAGAGTTCGCGTCGAAAACCGAGCCGAGCAGCAAGATGGGTGGTTCAGAAGGATCCCAGTTCTTCAATGAGTAACCCTGGGGGATCCTATGCTTCTGTCTATCCACCTCTGTAGCTACCCTCGCCTTGAGTGGGACGGGCTTGTGGGAGCTCGATGGACGGGCGGTAGAGGGTCGTTGGGGCGTCGACATGGACGAGCGTCGTTGCTTTGTAGGCTGTCGGGGCAGACGTGCGTCGTCGAAGCCCTGCTCAGTGTGGAAGCCTGCATAACCGCCCTTCATGGGGTTAGTCGTCTGACTCGGCGATTTCGTCCCCGTACCCAATCGTCCTCCGCGACACTTGCTCTCCTCCTCGCCCGTCGCTCGCCCTTGGCACCACTGGCGTGAGGCTGCACAAAAATGGACGACCTCCAGCCTTTCTCGGGAGAAAAAAGTATTGGACATCACCCCCGACGGGATACATTTCGGGCGACGAGCATTGTCTCGATTCGACTTCTTGAAAGACCCAGACGCGAGAAGATTGCGGGCTTTGGGAGGAAAAAGCTGACGAAAGACGATCTTTACTCACATCGGTCTTGGTGGCATAGAAACCATCGCTCGTGTACCGGGGCGAGGCCGCAGGAGGTCGCGAAGATGTCTCGACGAAGGCATTGCTCGTCGTTCGAAAGTGCGCCCGCGTCGCAGGTCGTGGCGGGTAGGAAGGTTGGCTATACATGTAGGAGCTGTGCCGAGGGGACGGCGTTGGGCTTGGAGTGTAGTATGGAGGAGGCACAGGCTCGTCGGGGTAACCACGCCTCGAGTATGGAGAGAAGCTGCCGGACATTCTCGTGTGGATATTCCGCCGCGCGCGATCAGGAATAAGTCTAAAGAGATTTTGAGGGGAGGAGATGGAGGGAGAGAGGGGAGGAGTTTGAAGGACAAGTTGTTGTGCTCGTATCGCCGTTGTATGTCTGATGCTAATATTGTACCAAACTAAGCAAAATTGTCGCGCCTTTGGTGAGAGGAAGCGCGAAAGATCGGTGAATCAAGTCACCGTTGTACGTCGTCGGAGGGAGGAGGGAAGAGTGGCGTTCCGAAAGTCAACATGTCAAAGGGTTGTGTGTGAAGGTGAGTCCTTGAGTGGACGAGGGCTGTCGAATCTGCTGGAAGAATCGACGAAGCTTGTGGAAGATACTGGCAACGAGTAGCACAGTATCGGCGGATGTGGTGGAAATGTTAAGGCGAAGGCGATGAAGCCAAATCAAGCCTGAGATGATATATAATGTTGAGTAGAAGCTTAGTCAATTGGCAAAGGCCAAAGGGGATATAGAAGGAGGAAGAGAAAAAGGAGGCCGACGAACTGTGTGTGTGGGAAGTTCACCTAGTTATACTGGCAGAAGAGCAAGAAGAAGGGGGTGGGAAACGAGACGGTACGAGCAGGCGACTAGAAGCCTCTACACTCGTGCCAAGTACCGCTACTTGATAAAAGCTGGTCGGAGCCAGGGTTACATTCATCCACACCCCTTGCCCTTTCCATCTGAGCAAACGCCCCTGCACCCATCTCGAGCAGGCCAGGGGGTGGCAAGGGAGAGGGGGTATCTTAATCTGGCATCGCTCCGACCAAATCCAGCCAAGGGGTGGCTCTAATGACGTAGCACCATACCTGAGTCAAGTCTTTCCCAGCCACCCTATCAGAACTCGACCCTTTCGCCCTTTCTCCCAGCACTCTTCTGGACACACAGTGTGTTGTCAATATACTCGTACTATAGTCTCTTTAAAGTGTTCATCACGCCTGGCGTTACTCACACAGCGAACTTGTGAATAAATTGATGACCACCGATTCAGGGGTCACCCGAGAGTTCATTATGTCCACATACCTACTCTCCCTCTTCCAGAATCCAAAATGGTAGAAGGCCAAATGCGTCCGTTTACGCGCCTTTTCTTCGCAAAAGAGGGTTGTCAAGGCAGGGAACAAGCGAAAAAGAAAACTTCTTTCTTCGGAATTTTCACAACCGACAAAAGCTGGTCTCGTGTTGTCGTGTGCGCGATTGAGAGGTGAGCAGCGCAGATCCAGAAAGGGGGGCGTGGTTTGATATTCGGGGTGGTAATGTGGGAAATTGCAGACGGAAAATGGTGATTTCACCTGAAGGGTACCCCTGTTCGGTGAAGCCTGGCCCTGGCCCGGGCCCTCCCTCTACTCGTCATACCCTATTTCCTAAATCTCTGGGCTTCAATCGCACTCCTGTGCTGAATGAGGGAAAGAAGTCGAACCGAAACTCCATGGCCCGAGAAGCGCAGATGAGCACCTCAATTCGATAAGAAACACAGAAACCTACAGATCTCTACCGGCAATCGTGCTCTTGCTCAAGAAGAGAGAAATGTACCGAACGAGTCCGTTTTGGATGCGGAGAGCTCGCATTGAGGTCGTTCGTCTGTCTAGATTGCAAGCGAAATGACACCCTCCTACTACACACTTCCACCCAACGGTTTGCTTGCTTTCCCCTGTTGCACATACCAACAGACACAATCCGCGAAAGAGAGATAGAGTCGAACCCAGAAATTGGCCCCAAGACTTGAAGGAAAAGGGAAGGTAAAAGAAAAAAATATGGCTAATAACTCGAACAGTAAAAAGAGGCCGCCTCCCCAGGCGGCAGGCACGCGTTTGGCAGACGAGATGTTGTTTATGATTCGGGGCGGGAAACAAGGCAGACGGAACACAAATTTTTGAGACAGTGATTTTGTCCCGTCTCTTGTCCGTTCGATGGTGTCGCTCTCGTTCCTGGGAGGAGAGCGACAGGGGATCACTCCCTTGCACAACCTGCACAGAAGGAACGAGAACACGACAAGGAAAAATTTTCTTCTGAGTTGTATTAGAAGTAATATTAAAGGTTTCTTTTCTTGGGACGGCCTAAGAAAGGTCCAAGGATGGGCCGGGGTATGGACGGAGCAGGGTAAAGTTGGAGCCACACTCCCTGAACATTCCCGGGAGTGACATAGCCGTTGATTAAATCACTGTGAAGAGTCGAGGTATATGCCCAAGCGATATTGGCAGTCAACGGTACTGCCATTGAGACTTAGGGCGCCAGCCGTGCACAGCCGTGCATGCGAGACCAGGATGGTGCATGGGAGGTGAAGAGGTGAGGGCATCGGAAACAAGGGCATCAGATGCCGTTGACCGAGGTGAGAGGTGGTTGGGGCACCACGAGTGAGCAGCCATGGGTCAAATTGATTTTACCGCCACTAATAATCATGGCTCCTGATGAAAGAGTCCCGGTTTGCAGCGAAAGTTCAATATGATGTCTTCCCGTTTTACTCTCCCCATTCCCTCTGTTTTTCCTTCTTTTACATCCTACGCGAAAGTTCCGCGAAAGACGAGAGAAAAATAGGGGCCGACTTGGGGAAAGAAGAAGGGGGTGAAAAGCGAAGATCCAGGGCAAGCAGGAAGACGACCCGAACTAAACTCACATTCCAGGACAGGCGAAAAGCAAAGACCGAGGGGGAGGGCTTGGCTTTTTCCTTCGTTTTCAGCCAACAATACAAGTGTCTAGTATCTACAAGTACACGCCTAGATCGATCCCCGACGACTTCATTTCCGGCGAGTGACACCTTCGACCTTAGACCATGGTGCCGTGGTTGTCCATCCTCTTCGCGAGGGTCCCGGGGGATCGACGCTGGCATAACTGTTGAGCTGGTGCCTAGATTGACCATGAATGCTCGCGGGTACAAGCATGGATATGGGTATCATTTACGCCGGACAGAAATTTCCTCCTGCCCACCGAAGAAATGACGGATGGGCTCGGTAAAAGCCGAAGAGAAACACGGCCGTTTTTCTCTTCAGGGAAGGTGTCGCGCAGATGAGGATTGATCTATCCGCCTTGATCTCGATGGGTATTATTGGATTTCCCATGCCTCCTCGTTTGGCGGGCGACGGGCAGGTCCTAAAAATTTATGCGGCGTGATTATGTCTCTCACAAACGAGTATTCGAACCTGTTCACGCGGCTTGAGAGATGGTTCATCGTCACATGCACGGCCCCAGCAGACGACCTCGCAGATTAATTGCCCTCCAACTGAAGCTCAGTGCGTCCACTAAGCCCCGGACAACCCGGTCTCAGCGAGTAAGGGCGTTCAACGATGCTCCGTTGCACAACATCAATTAGCAATGCTCGTGAGGGAGCACAAATCAATCCCCGCCGGCCAATATTTCTGTATCACGATATCCCTCCCTTTATCAAAAAGCCTAGAGGTTGTTCATCATCGGAGCCGGCGATGATCAATAATACCCGCAAGTACAAGAATAGGTCCTGCTGTGGAAGGGTTCTGGGCACCCTCATCAACCGTTTGACTGCGCGGTTAATGTACTCAACGGAGGCACGAGCCCAGGTCTCACCATTCGACGAAATATTTTGCGCACTCGGCCGTGTCGGATGTCCACCCTGACTCAAAGACCCATGTTTTGTTTCAGCGCCCGACCAGGAGAGAACTGAAGGGCACATTCCCTTGGCGAAGATAAGGAAAGCAGGCCATCGCACTCCTCATTCAGTGAGTCGACGACACTCGCCTGCCATCACTGCACGAAGACCAGACCACAAAATACATCAATCCATTAATGGATGATTGATCGATCCTTCAATTCGTTTGTTCCCTTTGCCTTTCCTCGCACGGCGACCCTTGTAAAGGCCCAGCGAACAGGTGCATTTGAACTCGTGCTGTAAATGTCCCGTACCGGACGGGGCTCCATTGATTGATCCAGTCCCAGTCCAGTGGCTCTGGCAAAGGACTGCGGGTACCTTCTGGGGCTTAGCGCATCCCTGACGTCGAGATCAGCGGCCCTGCGTAATGGAACATTGAATGGTCATCAATTCAATGTTCCAGCACATTTCCCAGCCCGAAACCCACGTTTTCCCACCCCAGTGTTCGAGAGCTTCCAGCGGCTCGGCCGCTAACGTCCCAATGTGGTTAGTTGATCGATTGCGATGATACCAGGAGGGGCCCTGATCATTTGAATTGATGGAATCCAGTATCCATTCCATTCGATCAATTCCAGATGGCTCGCTCAGTGCTGCCTGGACCATTAGCGCCTCGCAAGCTCTGATCCTCTAACACGGCTGCGGACGATTTGTTCAAATCCTTGCAAAGCACGAAGTATTATTTATTCGTGTAGTTATCGATGAAGACTGGCCCAATGGATCGCTCTCTGATAGTTGGTGTCACTTGACCGGAGCCACTGAGGACGGCGAAATCTTCTCAGCTTGGCAAAACTTCAAAGCGCTGAGTCACCCGGCCAATCCAATCGGGAGATTTTCTTCTCACCGAGACTCCATGTTCACCTTTGCTGCAAAACCGCCCGCCCGACATGGCCTCGCATGGAATGGAACTGTCGCCCAGCTGGCCCTTTTAATCCTCGTCGTTTCAACCTTATCAAAGCTCGGCCTCCTCTATCCAAGCAGCATGCGAGCCCTAAACATGCGCGTCGTGCATCTCTTCTTCGCCCTCCCTACTACACCTGGTACCTCTGATCCGCGGCGTTCTCGAAGCTCTCCTCTTCGCCCTCTCGGATTGCACTTGTGTCCTCCACCTCTCCATGACATGAGAGACGGCTTTCCGCTCAGGGTCTGGTCGTTTCTGCGCACTGTGTTATCTCTTAATACCCTTCCTTTATGTGCAAGTGTGTGAAGACCACAACGCCTCGGTTGAGGGGGGTGGCTCTTCCTCAGCGAAGAGCGCGCTAGTACGATTAGCGTGGAAACTTGAGGAAGGAAACACCCTGTTCTGTTCTCCCCCGTCCCCTGCGCGAACCAGCCACAACACTCACACACCTGAAAACGAAGAGCGAGACCTTGTTA